TAAGTCATAACTGACATACTGAAATATCGACCAAGACGGGATTACTCATCCGTCTCAATCTTTCAATCTACTTACACAAATACCTCAACAATATAATCAATTAAAAGTGATGAGATACACAATAAATAATTCTGCTGAAATTCTGACTTTAACAGTATAGCCGATTAATAAATAGCTACACTATAATTAATAATTTATCATTGAATTCCGAAAACACCTATCTTGGCTAGAGTTCCGGTTACACTAAAATCTTCTAAGTTCTGGCTAGAGTTCTGACTAGAATTCTCAAATCTTAATCGAAGGATAGATCGTACGCCCCAGAAATAATCTGACTATAATTACATATGTATTCGCAATTAATAAAAGCTGCACAGGTAACGTACCTCAGAGTCGGCGTGGCGTGAGTGTGGTGTGGTCATATCTCTCTAAAATTTTAGTATACAGAACCACTAAGTGGCTCTGATACCAACTGTAACACCCCGCCTAAACTTACTCTGATTTTAGTAAGTTTAGGCGGGGTGTTACACTTTTAGTCACATACCTTGATAGAGTTTCCTTTCTATGACAGGTTGAAAAAATATCCTTAGAATCATCCGACAAACCGAACGTAACAAAGGTTGTGTTTGCAGTTGAGTCAAATGTGACTACCCGGAGTTTAATCAGAGCCTCTTTTTTGTCTATGATTACGCGCCAATCACCTCTTCATCTCACCGAATCTTTGTTTGGGAATCCTGTGGACTTCGACGTGCTCAAATTCAGGGGAGGGATTACAGTAAGCACACCCGAGCAGAAGGCTTTCCTCATGCAAAATGTTCAGATTATTTTTAACTTCACTTTGAACTTCTCGATCGACGAAATCCTAGTCAATTTCGAGGAACTAAGGAACCAACTGAACGCGGGCCTACATTTAGCTCCGTACGAGGTGTCATATTTTCTCTTTATACTACTTGATATGAAAAAAGGTTATAATTAGTTAATTACAAACTCGATTCCCGAGCTCTAGGAAAATTACAATAAAGGTCCATATTTCCTTTTTTCTGAATATCGCAGAACTTGTACATACGGCTGACCAATCTAAAGGGTTCAACGGTGGCTCTACCGATAATCGTTCAGTCCCAAGTCCTCTTAGCCGTGGGCATAAATCCCTCCAAATTGAGGTTAAAACAGCTTGCTCAAACCATAACTGGGTCCCACTCGAAGAATCTCGGCCTTAACAACACTGTGTTTGGACACGTCAAGCAAGTCAGCCTCTCTTCTATGCCGCCAGCTATTTCACCTTCACCATCAACAAGCTATAATAATAACCGTGGAGGATCTGTGTTTGGGGGAGAGAGGGGAGAGAATCACAGATGCTGTTCCTGCACCTCCGCCAGCCTGTTGTCAGGGGAAGCACAAAAGACATTCACACGTGGCGCCTTCTCATTCGCCGCCTCCTAAAAGGGCTCCATTTCATGGTGACCATAGTTATCATCCGCCAGCGAGGAGTGCATCTCGTGCAATGCCGATAGTTTCGTCACCCGTGCCATCTCCATGTAAGGATATGATTTTTTTCAATTTTGAGCTTTTTTCGACCACTGTTTTTTTTTTTCATATTTAATTGGACATATGTTAAGGGGACAAAAAAAAAGTACTATTTTTACCTGATTGCACATATTGTTGATTGAACCAAGCATCTCATTCAAGAGAC